ACAGATTCAATCCTGCCTGCTCTTCTGATTCTCATCCTCTCTCCCCGCTCACTTAGCAGGGATAGGCTAAGAGTCATGTCCTTTAGATGCCTGGACACCATTTCTACATCCCTCCATCACCCACCAGGGGATCTCCTTAGGTTCAACTAGGAATTAGGATTCACAGGACTGCCCCAGGCCACACTTGGCATTTGGAGTCACTCAAAAGGGTATCATGCAGGAAACACAGCTTCTCTCCAGTGGGAGTCCCCAAAGCTGTCCTAACAGTCATCCAGGAGTTATTCTCTTTGCCTTGCCCCAAGTACGAGAGAAAGAGGCTCCCCTCAGGTGGGTACAGGGCCCTCCAACCTTAGAAGGCTCATGACCCACAGGAGTCAATATTCTAACAATTGTGCAGGCATTACCTTCAAGTGTCCCCACAAAGGGCATGTCACTTATAAGAGTTACCGCAAAGCCCAGCATCCCTGTCCACCCTTTATAGTCTCCGTAGCCCCCAACTCCTCATCCGTGGACTCTGTTTACTCATGGGACTCCTTGTGCTTGGGGCTTGGGAGCGTGCTGGGGACCCAGGGCTTCCTGACCCGCTGGCTCTGGCTGTCGGCAGCCAGGTGGAGGCTGCAGAGACCGGGAATGCTTTCCCTAGTTCGCAGTTCACTGGGAATTATTTGATCTCGCTGGGATTTCACTCCCAACAAGAACAAAAAGGTGACCCTCCTTGCCGCCTCCCCAAACAGGTCAGCCCATATTAAAGTCGATGCCCGCCAAAAAAAAAAAAAAAAAAGAAGCAATTTACCAATCAGCAGTCATTTATTTTTTTTATCATCAGCAATATTACTTAGGTGCATAGGTAAGAGTCTGCCTTTATCAGGTTCCCAGGGCAATAGAGCTAAAAAGTTAACTGAATGTCACATTCTCATATGGAAGAGGAGAGTTTTTTGTTAACTCAGTGTCCACAATTCCAAAATGCTAAAAGAATATTTTCTTTGTCACCCATAGATGCCTTTCTACCAGCCTTATGATTGGCAGGGATAGCCTTCAAATAACAGAAGACAGGTCTTTTCTGCCTTTCAGATGCCTTTTCTCCTTGCTGATGTGATAGAAGCGCTCCCAAAGCACCATGTCTAAACCACTCACGCGCCTGTCAGCCTTTCATCTCTGGTATCCAGCATGGGGCCAGATGTGAGAGGATGTCAGTATCTAGTAACCACATAATAGAAAGGGCATGAGCTCTCTAAGCATCTTACCCTTTTCCTGACCTTGCTCCTAGATTTGGGGCTGGCCGAGTTTGGGTGTTGCCAGCCCCTCTGCACAGTGATGGTGCTGATGACAGGTGTGCATGGAGTAACGAGCACATACACTTCCTTTAATTGTGCTGTGGCTTCTTTAAGAGCACGGTGTTGGCCATGCAGGGTCAGTAGATTAATTTACAGATGTCATATAAAACCAAAGGAACAAGCTGGCCATTCTATAGGGTCAGATAGAACAGAGGGGATGCCCCCACCTCATTTTTTTATCTGCTTCTAAGAGAAAGCAAGCCATGTGGTGGCTCTGTGTACCCCGTCCATCCTCACTTAGTGGAGTTGAATTCTCAACTGAGAAAGCCCTGTATCTAACACAGTAATACTAGAACAACTACAACTTGCCAAATCTTACAGGTGCTTTATTCCTGTTATCTCAAGTAATCCTCATTGCCCCCATTTTATAGAAAAGAAACCTTGTTATTTCTCTTGGTCAATGCCAGCCAGTAGAGTAGCCACGTAGACAGAAGGCACCACTTGAAATAAAGATAAAAGACCATCCCCTGACAATCATGTGTAGCCCCACCCCCACCCCCCGCTCTCTACCCGCAACCCAAGATCATGCTGTTTCCTTCTATCTCTAATTCACTTCTCTGTCTAGCTCACAGGATTTAAGTTGAGCAAAACACAGACATCCATCAGTCGAGAAACTAAGAGAAAAGAAGCAAAGAGAGTCAGTTCCACAGCATATGTCTCACCTCAGAGACTGCAAAATGTATATGATAAATATGACATAAAGGCTGAAATCTACAGGTATGTTCATGTTCTCGGGCAGATTCTAACTCAGATGAACAGGACAGGAAAGTCCAAGTCAAACACCACATCCAAGGACCATAGTCCTACCTCCACTCTGTTGACTGGAATTGAGTGGTAACTAGAAAATTTACTCAGGTTTCTAGAAATGGCTCGAGGGGTGTGAGAAAAGGGAAACTTGTTATGGTTGTTCAGTTTCTTGCTTTTCTTTTAGCTTTGGAATTGTCCTCTGGGAAATTGCTACTGGGAAGATCCCATTTGAAGGTAACCAGGGTGAACCCTAGCTAGATGGTACTGAAATTGGGTCCTTTTCCGATAGACTAGAAAGTCCCACATCAGTGCTGTTCTGGGCTCTTTGTTCTCCAATGTGGGCACTGCCTGGGCTGGTCTGTGGTGTCTTGTTTCTTCGATAATCAAAGTCCCTAGTTCTGGTGCCAGGCATCAACACCCAGAGAGATGTGTGAGTGCCAGAGGAATTTTTAAGCCTCCCATCCTACTGTTTCCATGCCAGGCTGTAATTCTGAGAAGATCTACCAGTTGGTGGCTGTGGATCGGTACCAGGAGCCACTGGACGAAGATTGCCCTTCCCATTTGGAGGAGGTCATTGACGATTGCCGGGCATACGAGCCCTCCAATCGGCCATCTGTTAATGGTAGGGTCCTTTCTGGTCTAATAACATGAGTCACACATGTTATTTCACATTTGTGAAAGTCTCTTTTGTGGTTCACAAGCAGGGATGATTTTGCCCCTCAGGGGACCATTGGCAATGTCTAGAGACATTTTTGGTTGTCAAAACTCAGGGGAGGTGGGGTAGGGTAGGGTATGCTACTGGTATCTAGTAGATAGATGCTACTCGGCATCCTACAATGCACAGGACAAATATCAATAGGAGTTCAGAAATCTTGTGCTAAGGGCACTGTTTAAAGTGGGCCAGGAAGGTAGATTACTCCAACCTATATTCTTTCCCTCCCTCCCTCCCTTCCTTCCTCCCTCTCACCCTTCTTTCCCTCCTTCCTCCCTCCCTCCTTCTCTTTTTTCTCCCTCCCTCCCCCGCTTTCTTCTCTTTTTCTTTATTGCTTTTTTTTTTTTCAAACTTTCTATACTTTTGTCTATCTTTCTCCCTTCCTCCCTCCCTTCCTCCTTCTTCTAGGGTCCCTTACCACCCAGGGTCTTCCTGGTATTGGAGTATCTAATACCTGAGACTAACTCACATTAAGATGTGAGTGTACCACTACCACAAGCTACTTGCATTTGAAAAGTTGACCGAGTAAGAGGGAACATTATATAAAGGCATGAATACAGATGGTGGTTTAGGCTCCAGCTAGACCAAGGGAAATACAGTTTCTACATTACTGTGCAGTGTAGTAACGTCTTTGTGTGTCTAGCTTGGCTCTAAGCTCCCTGCTCTTGTCTAACTTTATGTTCATTCATTCACAGAAGTCTTAGAGAGGCTGTCTAGCTTTTACAAAGATCTGGATTGAAACTGAAACTAAGGAGTCTCTGGGCAAGAAGCTGGAAGAGGTGTAAGTTGGACAGCTTTCTCTCTTCAGTCCTTGGAGTGGAGTTATTTTATGAGTATAGGGAGGCAGCGGTCTTCTGTTACAAAAAGAAAACAGTTCCAGTTACACAGAGCATCTCCCACTCCAAACGACATTGTCAAAAATAATACCTCCGATAGTAACTGTGATAGATGTTTTACCAAAAGGTATGTCTGTCTGTATCCACACCTCTTGGCACTGTGATTTTGCCGCTCAGCCCATTGAGAAGTATTGTATGTCAATTATACTTCAATTGGAAATAAAAATAAAAAAACCTCTCTCTTATAAACCGAAATGTTTATAGTTGATGAAATTATATATTTGGGATTTGATTCAAAATAATCTACAGGGAGGGAGAATAATTACAGATAAAGGAAAAGGTAAAATAAGATTAGTTATCAGTTGCTAATTGTTGAATCTGAATGATGGGTACATAGTGGTTCATACAATCTTGTTTTCTGAATATGCTTAAAACTTTCCACAATAAAATGGTTTTTAAAAGAAAAAAAAGCGGAGTCTGCTTCCCTGCCATTGGCGTCTGGGTTGGCATTGTGACTGGCTTTGGCCAGTGAAATGTGGAAGTGATGGTGTGCCAGTTCCAAGCCTAGGCTTCAAGAAGCCTTACAAACTTCCTCTCCCTCTCTCGGAACGCTGCCCAGGTGTGAACAAGCTGGGCTCTTGTGCTGGAAGATGAGACCACGCAGAGCAGAGACAACCTGTCCCAGCTGAGGTCCCACTAGACCAGCTAGTCCAGCAGCCGACTCAGTCACTTGAGTCCAGTCAAGATCAGAAGGACCACACAGCTGAGCCAGACCTAATTGCCCCTTCACAAAATCTTAATCTAAATAAATTATTGTCTTAAGCCACTGAATTTTATGATGATCTGTTACACAACAGTAACAACTGAGCAAACACTGTTCAATCCTTCCTCTTGCCCATTGAACTAAGTATAAACTTTCCATTTGGATACCCATGGCCTCTGTCTCTGACTCCAACCTGACATCCAACATCAAGCTCCAGAGTTCTCCTACCAGAGATTACAAGATCTAATGCCTACAGTATCTAGGAATGAACCTAAATGAGTGAGCTGACCGTGGAGGGGACTTCGGTGAACAGATGAGCTTCATTAAGGACAAACTCCAGCCTATTTTTATCACGTAGGAATGAGATCCCAATGTTTCCAGAACATTCCATTTTGTCAAAAGAAGATGGAAATTTTTCTGTAAATTGCCCATTTATTTTAAAGGTTGGCATCTCATTAAAAATTATTTTAATGCCATATAAGACAAACAAAATGTTAGTCTAGGAACCTCAGATTTTAATCTCTACCAGACTCAAACTGGTGTCTCCTGTACATGGCCCTTTTGTTCTGAATTTTTACACTTTTGCTCATAGTGTACGCTTTACGTTGGATACACTGATCCCTACCTCTAAATGTTTCTTATTTCCTCCTCAGAATTCATCCCAAATCATCAGCAAATGTGCTAGGCATTGTTCCAATCACTGAGGAGACAACAATAAAATACATTTATATTTTATATTCTAGTAATCATTTCTGGAGAATAAAATTATGGCTGATTTATATTCTTTTTATCTTTGACTTATTTTTTTTTTTAAACCTAGAGCATGTTTTCCTTTATAATAAAAAAATGTAGAATAAACATGGACAGGTTGAGCTTTTAAAATGATCCTTTTCTAGAGCTTTTCATTAGCTTCTATTTTCATCTTTAAAGTCCTTTGTTCTCTTTACGTCCTTTGTAGATTAATTATCCACACTCTGGTTGACCTATAGGCAGAGGTAGATTTACTGTGAAACTAATAAAGCTTAATCTTCAGGGCCCCTCACTGCATAAACTATCTTCCAAAGCCGTGTACTTAATTTTCCCCCCAACATTTATAAAAATTTTCAAATATAGAATCTAAGTTTTGTGATGGTTTGTTACAGAGCAGTAGTAACTGAACAAACTCTGTTCAATCCTTCCTCTTACTGAACTAAATACAAACTCTGCATATAAGTCAGTAGAATTATACTCTGAATACCTATATACCCACTATCTAAATTCTACAACTAATGATGTACTGTTATCACATACTTATCCATCTATCCATGACTTTCTACCCAGTAATCCATCCTAAACTTTTATACATTTAAATTACTTTAAAAGAAAATTTCAGATATTAGTACATTTCATTCCTTTACACTTCAGCATTTATATTAAACTGCAGTTTAATATGTTTAAAAGTGGTCTTGGGGGGAGGATGGGCAGGTAACATTTCTATGTTGTGAAATACATAAATCTTAAATATACCATTCAATGAGTAATCCAAACCCCACCAAGATAATGAATACTATCATCATACCAGATAGTTCTCTTATGCTCATACAATCAATCCCTCTGCTCACTCTTGTCCCACAATTCTGATTTTTAACAGCATTTTTGAGTTATAATTTTCACAGTAAAAACTACACACATTTAAAGTGTGCAACAGCTAAGTTCTGATGTTTGTATATACCACCGCAGTCAAGATAGTGAACGTATCCATTGACTCCCAAAGTTTCCTCATGCTCCTTTATAATCACTACTCACACTCCTCATTGGTCATAATGGAGCAGTTCTGATTGGATGGGCAGGTCTCAGGAACTTACCTTTAACAGTAGACTCAGAAGGCATAAAGAAGAGAGCATAGTGCAGAAAGCTCTTCCAGGTATACAAAGTAAGTGAGAAGGCCCTGTGTAGCAAATGGCTGTTAGGCTCTAATATTTATAAAGCTTGGGCCCTCGGGTGACCTTGGGATCCCATTTCAGCAGATAAAATCCTTCTCGGGATTCACATCAAGTGAATCTTCTCAGGATCCACAAGCCAATAGAGAGGCTGGTATTTAAGTAATCATCCAGAGTTGGGAATTCACTCCTAAAATACAACACAGCCAACACCTTTCCCTCTAAACTATATTTAACATTTGGAAGTTGGAGACTAGACTACACAGTTCTGGCTTTGTTAATTTTCTTTCTCTCCTTGCTAGTAAACATGGCTATTAGGTGGATCGTGAATGAATACACTTTTAAAACCATTTAGAAACATTCTGTATACCCTTCAGTAAGCAGCCTTTTGTGTTGTCCAAATTTCTTTTACCATGTGGTATATTACCAATTTTTTAATTTAAATTTTTTCTAAGAATATTCAGTATTTGACAACATATCTATCTATCCATTAACATGAAAAGCAACTCGAGATATATTTTAAGACTAAAACACTATCCCATCTATACCTAAATAACATATTCAGATAGGTGAAGATTTTAAACAAAGTTAATAATGACTTCTCTGGATAGAGACAATTTTTCTTGTTTGCCTCTTTAATTTTCTAATTTTTAAAATTTCCAATTTTTCTACATTGAACATGTATACTTACCTAAGTGAGAATCGTTTAAAATGTTTTTCATTCTACTCCAAAACATGTTAGAAAATTCCTTTCTACTTATATTAGCCATGCTGTATCTAGGCAGTAGCTCCCTTAGATGGCAGGAAAGGGGAAAAAAACCCACACATACAAATGCTAACGCTGGTTTTGGAGGAAAAAAATATTGAAAAGACAGCATTTGGATTATCTATGATTTTCGATTGTCTATGCTCTCCTCTGCTATCAATTCTACTGAAAATTGGCAGCTGAGTAAATCAAATTTTGGCAACGTGCAGCCTGTGCCTGAGGTTCAGATTTTTAGGTCTTCCTCCTAAAAAGTGAGAATGCATCTTTGGGGGGAAGTGGGGAGATGCTTGAAAATTGTTTGCTCTTAAGTGATGTGACGATAGTTTAGTAGCAGACAATTTACTGCAATGGTCTGGGATTGAAGAGATCGTGCAGGCAAATTCTTTTTCGTGAGCTCTTCAACCCCCATCCCGAAGGGATTGTTCTGTGCCTCTTAACAGGTTCCGGTTTCCGGGGGGCACTATTTTGGAATTATTGGATTAGCTACCAGCCTTTGGCTAAAGATATCTTTTACTAAAGAGTTAGAAGCAGCAAGAGCCACAGTTTTAAGATTTTCATCATCTTTGAAAATGTACCGAGACATCTTTCTTACAGCTTTCTTCCCCCAGAAAGTTCAAATCAACAGCGAGCGGTAAATTACTTTTTCGCTTTTCTTTTCCGGGGCTGAACACGGCGTAGGTTTTTACTGACGGACGTAGGTTTTTACCAATCGTACGAGGCCTCCTCGCGCGTGATCCCGCCTAGTCAGTTTATGAAGCACCAGCCAATGAGAGTGCCGCTCTTTCAGCCAGCGACGACCAAAGGAAGAAGAAGAGAGAGTATTGGTCGACGGCTGAGACTGCTGCCCAATAGAAGCAGGTCGCGCCCGCGGCTCAGGCGGGCAGCTTGAGCTGCTGGGGAGGTGGGCGGTTGTCCCTAGCAAGGCGCGAGTTCCGCGGAAGAAACGGCCGTTACTGCGGCGGCCTCGCGAGCCCGACTTCGTCCTTCCAGCTTCAGGTGAGGAGCGCTCTTGCCTCTCCCTAGGCTTCGGTCCTGGGGCCTCTGGCTCTGGGGTAACTTCTTGGGCTTCATTGTGTGGACACGGGGCCTGGGGACGCGCACGAGGTGGGCCGCGGGCGGGCATGGAACCCCACGGTCTGAGGAGGTTCGGCGGCCCTGGGCTGCCCCGATCGTCGGGGCTGAGGCGCCAGAACTCCGGCTCTTTCGGGGTTGCTGAGAGAGAACGCCCGAAGTCGGAGTGGGGCGCGGGGAAGGCAGAAACTTCGGGCGATTCCGGAAGCTGGCGAGTTCCATGGCGAGTTCGCTGTTGGCCGGAGTCTGAGGGCCGGAGTCAGAGGTTCCCCAGCCACTCTCTGAGGAGCTGAGCTTCAGACTCTTAGTTTACAAACAATTGCACTCCTTGAGCGCCCGTTGGTTGCATCACTTTCAAGTTAACTGAAGAACCCAACTTTTAATTTTTTGTCTTTTTTAAGAGCATAATTTTTAGCTTTATCCAGCTTTATCTCACAGCAACACTGCAACCTATGTACTATCCCCATTTTACCGACGAACTAGTTGAACAGAGAGGCTAGGAAACCTGCCTAAGGCCTGTAGTATGTGACAGCAGCGATTTGAACTGATTCCCGGTGTCGCCGCTTATCTTGTTTATTGGAGTCGGGATAGTTGTGGACGTCGATTGAAATCTGAGTAACAAATCTTGCTAAGATGGATGACAAGTGGAAGGTTCACATTTTAAGCTCCGGCTCTCCTGGAACACACAGAAAATAACATTTGTGTGACATGCTGAGGTCAAGGACAAGGCCGCTCAAGGCTTGGGATGACCAGCCGTCGATCTTTTTTTCTAGCCACCCCTGGTTACCCCAAGGGCTGGAGAGATCATTTTCTCAAGTTTTGCTCCAGAACAGCAACGCCGTTTCATAGAACTTTGCTGGAATGAGAATGTTTTATATATCAGATGCTGATATATTCTTAGTTGTTGGGTTTTGTTGTTATGTTTTATAGTTTTGTTTCCTTTTTTAGGTATATGATGGGTAATTCACTAGATATTTAACATCTGCTGTGTACTTGGTGCTGTGGAAGATAAAGTGATGAAGCCGATAGATTTGGCTCTCTCTCTTCTTGTTCTAATCATAACTGGTTACTCTAATCAAAAGTGGCATATGTGAGGAGAAATTTCATTTTTAAATATTTAACCATACTGAAAAGTACAGAGAATAATTTTTAAAAGACCTGTACATTCACCACCCAGATCTAACAAATGTTGGCCTTTACCTTTAAGAAAGAAAAAATATATATATATGTATTTATAGTTGAAGCCTCATGTGTACTCTTGTCTTGCATCCTTTCTCTTCTGAGTTTGGTATTGTAAGTCCAGACAGTATTGCTTTGAATATTTTTAAGTGTCCTAAAAATGGAATTATGGTGGATTTATTTGCAACCTGCCTTTTTTTTTCTACTGGATATAATTTATGAGGAAAATTTACTGTATTGGGGTTCCTAGTTGAAAGAAAGCATATGGGTCCATCTTGACCAGAGGTTTTGCTTTACTTTGTTCTCTTCCATTTTTTGAGTTCTTTCTGGTACTTCAGTTAATCAGATATTCTGGCTTGACCTTTTAATTTTATTATTGTCTCAGTTCGTTGACTTTTCTAATTTCTGGAAGAATTCCTCTACTTTATCTTCCACTCCTATTAAATCTTATATTTTGGTTGTTATTTTTCATTACCAAGAGCACTCTTTTGATTTGTCTTTTTTCCTCCTAGCATTCTTTTCTTGTAAGTTTGGAATTTTTTGTTTGTTTGTTTTGTTTCTTGCATTGTCTTCCTTCCTTCCAAGTTTCTTCTGTTTATTTGCTTTGGTCTCTCTCATATTGGAGGCTTTCCTCAAAAGTCAGTTCATCCTTGGCTATTTATTTTAAGGAGAGACCTCCAGAAAGCTGATAGGAAGCTCTGTGTGAATGGCTGAACCTTATCAACCAGTGGGCTTTATAGGCAGAGACCCAGACATTCTCTTGGAGGATTCACAACTGTCATTATTTGTAGATCTCTTTTCTTAAGCTAGTTTTCTCTAGAGAACAATCCTCTAATCTCCTGCCTTGGAGTACAAAAGAAAAAATGTATCTAAACCAGAGTGTTGTGTCCTGATTTGTGCAGAGGAAAAAGCTGGGAAGAAAGATTGGAAGTTAGTCACACTGTTCTGTTTGTAGACTTTCACCTAACTCATTTTCACTGCTGTGCTGCTCTCCCATCCTGGTCTTAAGGCTGTCTGGTTTAAACGTCCAGTTTTCTACAATATAGGTTGAAGCGATTTTTGTTTGTTTGTTTGACGAGGAGACCCGCTAACTACTTTTACAGACTTTTAACCAACCAACTCTTTCAGCTCCATCTTTCAACACTATCTTCTATGGTACCTGGTTTCTACAGTCCCCTCAGTGGGAATCAGCTTCTCAAGAGCACAAAATTCCCCCTTTTGCAGGTACTTGAGTTTCACCTTTTCAGCTCTGTAGTTACCAGTTATCAGTCCAAAAAACTGATTTATATATCTCATATCCTGTTTCTTTTTGAGTTATATTTATGAGTTCTCAGGAGTGACTAGAGAGAAAAATATATCCATTTCATCCTCTGTGTTTCTTGGAATTCCCTCCATTTACTCTGCCTAATCTGGCCTCTGACCCCATCACTTTGGGGTAACTGCTCTTTTGTAGGTTATCTGTTATCTCTACGTGGCTAAATCTAGTGACCATTCTTCACCCTCAGTAGCACTTGAAACACTTGACCATTCCTTCCTTGAAACATTCTTTCAAGACATCACATTTTCCCAGGTTTCCTTATACCTCATAGTCTTGTTTCTGGGTTCTTTTCCTGTAACTATTGTCTTTTTAACCTTAGTGTCTCCAGTGTTAGTTCTTGGCTTCTTTTCTCTGTCCGTATTCCTTCTTAAGTAATTTAATCTCACCCTTGATTTTAAGTAATGTGTCTATGCTGAGGATTCTTAAAGCTTTCTGTTCCTTTCCATCTTTACTACTGCCACTCTTGTCCAAGCCTTTGACTACTAGTTTACACTCCCACAGTAGCCTATAAATCAGTCACCTGGCTTGCACTCTTGTTCCCCTATAGTCCATTCCCAACACTGAAGAAATTCCTTACCGAAGCCTTCAGTGATGATAGTCCCCTGCCTCACCCCCATTCCATACTGTTCGATCTCCCTTACTATACTCATTACACTGAGCAGCCTGGTTTCTCAAATGCACCAAATCCATGCTCACCAGGGACTTGTCCATTGATTTTCTTCTGAAACTCTTGGCTTTTCATATGGCCAGATTTTTTTAATCCTTTACTCCTTGGCTCAATTGCATTCTTTCCAAGAGGCCTTCCCTGGCTGTTGAGTCTAAAGTGGTGCTTCTTGACTTCTATTACCAAAACCAAATATCATAATGTATAATTTTCACATTTATTTGTTTTCTCATTTGCTAGAATGTAAACTCTGTTCAGGGTCTTACCCATCTTCACGTCCGTAGGGTATCTGACTACATACCCTACAGGTGCCTAATAAATATTTGTTAAATGGACCTAACAAAGGGAATTAGGTAGGAAACAATGAAATGGATAGGGTAAATAAAAGTTGCTCAGCCTTTTTTGGACAAATTAGGTAAATTTCTATTTTAAGTTAGTAATTGAATTAATTTTGAAAGTTTCTTTGTTTATCCTCTGTAATTTGATGCCATGAAAGAAAATTGTTTGCTGAAATTAAATATAGCATTATAGGTATTGTTTCAGTAAATGTCCATTTATTCAGGTCATGACAAAGAACTGCAAGAAGTCTGGGGGATTCCTTTCAAACCAGTACTTTAGTCTGTTTTAGAAGATAGTATTATGGTCACCTGACTTCATGTTTTCAAAGGACAAACTGGACAACTGGTTATAAGTGCTTGTTATAGAGAAAAAAGTAGATGATTACCAAAACACTTCTGACTTAAAAATAAGTAACTAAAATCTTCTCTTCAAGCTCCTCAGTTTTGCCAAGAATGATCTTACATAGAAATTCTAAAAGAGTAGATATATCAGCTAAATGACATTTTTTATTTATTTTACCAATACTTTACAAATATTGCTTCCTCAGTGATGGCTCACGAAGCAATGGACTATGATCTTCAGGTGCAGTTAGATCATCACGCTGCACAACAGTCTGCTCCTGCTGACGTGGTCAACAGCCAAAGGGGACCGAACTTATTGCAGCCTGCTCCTCCTCAGGTGTCCATTGACCTAACACAGGAAGTGGAGCTCTTGGGAGAAGAGAATGTGGAGAACATCAATCCAGGAGCTTCAGAGGAGCACACGCAGGGATCTGGTGCTAACCGCCTCATCCGAGTGGCTTCATTGGATTCAATGAGCAGCTTCTTCACTGGGCTCCAGAGACTTCATGGCATGCTGGAATTCCTGAGACCACGTACAGACCACAACGTGGGGCCAGTGAGAGCCAGGAGAAGCAGAGGTTTTGCTTCACGTAGGGGAAGAGCTGGAGGATCTCAGAGGACAGACAATGCCAGGTGAATAATAAAGTATGAATTGTGGAATTAGTGCTACATTGGGAATTATGTACCTCAGGCTCTGGTCATACCCCCATTGCTGTCAATGATAGGCATTTTGTCTTTTGGCAAATCAGGTAACCTTTCTGAACCCCCATTTTCTCACAAATCAGATGAAAATAAAAATGCTTGCCTTATTTACTTCACAGAGTAATTGAAGACATAAGTTATACTTACATGCTTTGAAAATTAGGTGGTTAATTTGTTGGTATTGGTTTCTGTAGAGGCTGGCTTTTCTTTATATCATTTACATCTTGTATAACAAAAAAGTATTTCATAATTTACAAGTTCACTCCACTCATCCAAGATCCGTATTTCATTGACACGCTACATAGTGGTGCAGGCTGGATTTAGGGAATCCTTGTGAAAAGTAGAATTTAAATTAATTTAGTGAAAGTGGTAAGCATTCCAGCCCTCTGTACCTGAAAATGTGTTGAAGAATTGAAAATAATTTTCTTTCATTGTTTTTGAACTTACCTCTTAAAGGACTTAGCTGTCGAGTATGGACAGGGTTATTATAAAGAATAACAGTTGTCTATGTCTTGTCTGTTTTCAACTTCTTCCTACGTTATTTGAAATACTGTATTTCACATTTGGCCTTTTAAATATTTTCACATTTAAAGAGGTTGCATTCAACCTCTATTTTCTGGACCCTGAATGTTTTGTTGAGGATCTCATAGCTACAGCATGGAAGAAGGAGAGCTGGTATTGGAACCTGGATCTGCTTCTTTTTCTACACAGGCAAATAGAGGAAACTTCAGTCAGATCCATTTATTATCTTAACACTATGAGAGTAATGAGACGATACTAAAAAGCAATAGCTAGGCCAACTATTACCTATGTTTTTACAAATGAAGGCGATGGGATAATTTGTGATTTGACTGAAGTAACTCTGGAATTGGGATTGTGCCTTCTGATTGTAGATTCAGTATTCTTTTCCACAGATCTTTCTGATTAGTAAGGACTGCTGTGACTGTCACTCCAGTCTCTGTTGTGACTGATCACTTCTGGATGTGACCCATCAAGGATGATTGCTTCCTAGTTCTGTGTTGACAAGAGTCGCAAATGCTTATTACTCTGTTACTGTAAGGTGTCATTCCCTTGAATTATGAAGGCAAAATAAGATTTCATAGGTACCTTGTACGATTTGGGGACCCTGTCAAAGTGAGTAAGTGGGCTGAGAGTTGAGAGTGGTGTTCCCAGGAACTGGCTGCTGCTAAGAGGCCTCTCAGTAGTCCTCAGCGTTGGTTTTTCATATACTCACTTGGGGGTGGGGTGAGGGCAGAGTTGATTGCTTTTGGTGGGGGACACTTTCTTGTATTAATAAACTCCCAGGAGAGTGATACTTATAAACCAAATGCCGATTTACAGAGAGAAATAGAAATGCTAATGAGACCAAATTGTTTTGTTGGCATGGTCAGTATGATTCTCCCAGAAGATATTTATACACAGAAGCTAAACAGTAATCAGAAAATGGCCTGATGTGTATAGAATCTGTGCCCAGATTATAGAATTTAGATGTTGAAAGATGTCAGTCAAGCTGTTTGTCTCCACAAAGGGAATTAACTGAAAAGGCCAGGGACTGTGTAGTTCAGTTTACGGAACATGGATTCTGGAGCCAGATAAATGTGACATTAGAACTTTTTTTCCCCTAAATATTGTGTTGTAAGCAAACTCCACACTAAATTTACATAAAAACGTGAGCTTTTCCAGGACCAATTGTTTATATCTTCTGAATTTCTTTATGAATTTTCATTATGGTGTTTGGCATTTACTCACCTGACTATCAGTAGGCCAGGTGTTGAGAGCCTGGGTCAAGGTCAGCAGCTTTTGCCTCAGAATATTTATAACACTCCACTATGTGAGAGACTCAGCTTTGACATGGAGATACATCAGTGAGTAGATAAGACAGATCAGGATACCTGTTCTTATGGCGTTTATGGAATCTAGGACTACGAGGTTAAGCAAAGGGCTAACATACTATTATTCAATTCAGAAATGGTAAGAGTAATTATCATTACCAGAAAATTTAGG